AAACAAAATTTTGCCATGTCGGCGGTGGAGCGGCCCAAGTCGTGGTCGCGCGACCAATCGCTCGAATGTTCCGATCGCGAAGTCTGAACGTGATTCAACTCGTGTAAAAGAGATTAAAAGTGTTCTTCTCGAACATGATGCTCGTAATACGTCTTAGATAACCTTTTTCAGCGCTGCGTATTGTAACACTTCTCGGCCAGGTCGTGGATAGCTCTGGTACCGTATCAGGTGGAGGGCAGCCGAAATAGTAAGTTGTTGCTCTACGCACAGTTTCTGACTTGCCAGCTCTTCTCGGATTCTGAAGATAGGAACTCAGAAACAAAATAGTCATTCTTACACTAGTGCTAAAAAGGCAAGGTCAAAATACTTGCAGTGGTCCCATGGTAACAAAGAAAAAGAAAAGCAGAACAGCCCTACGTGAGCGCAAGCAGACTTCCAGCACTACAGTAACTGGACGAGAAGATGCAATGTTGGCGAAACCCCAGCTGCGTTCCAGCTCATTTAGTTCGACGATGGAGGCCTTCAAAACCTCCAGTCTAGCGGCAGCTTTCGCAGGAACTCCTTTCAGTTCTTCAAGCTTAAAGAGAACAGTTTCGGCACCATAATAGATCACAAAAACTAGAGAGAGGCACTAAAAAATAATCAACCTGCGAAGTTCAAATTCTACACAGTCACGGCCAATAGACTGATAATGACTGGAAAAACCAGTTTGTCCACAGAGGGAGGGAACGCGTTATGGAATATGGAATACTGTGTGTGAACAGAAGTTGAATTTCTATGCAATCTTGCCGTATCGATCGGCACAGATTGAGAATACAGTCGGATTACCGGCTAACGCTGGCGGCTCCTCTTCCTGTGACAAGGTCAATCTTCACCGAGGAGTACAGCTTCGCCGCGCGCTTCTTTTCAAAGAAGTTGAAGTGCCCGGTAAGCGCAAGGCATCCATCTCCGTACTCAAACAACGCTCCTTACCACTGTTAGATGGAGGGTGATAATTCCGAAAGTAGCAGGCCTAGAAGGATAGGGAGCCTTGATCAAGTGTAGTGATGAATCGTTCTCATCAGCACATCAGCAGAGGTACTTCATTCAATGGACAAAAGAGTGCGCTACAAAGCTAGATCATGTCACAGAGGGGGGAGCGCCCGCTCCAGCCAGTTACCCTGCTGGTAAACGTTGGGGAAAAATTCTGCAAAATACGATTCCTTCTCCCTCAAGGGCGAGGGGATGGAGATATAGCCACACGAAATAGGAAAAACCAAGAAAAGTCAATGACCAAAACATCTACTTCAAGGGCGATCCACACCCTATTCCCCTCGAGCGAGTTAATACGATTCCTCTCGCTGGGAGTGCTTAAGGTAAAAAGTGCCCTGCTGGCGAACCACAATAGTCAATTAATGCAAGACTGAAAAATAATTAATTCCAGGTAAGCCGATTGGGATTTTTTTACAAATTCACTTCATACAAACATTTCTAATCTCAAGAGCAACGGTGCAGCCCAAGCAATCAACAGGTAAAAAAATTTAAAACATGAGCTCATGCACACTAAAACAGCAACAAAAGTTACTGCGCTACCTTCTGTTTTTCCTTTTCGATCTCGTCCCCTACTCGAGAAATGTCAGCCACGTTTCGCTTCAGAGTATTCGCTCGCGCCTTAGCTGACCGCTCTAGAGCGCCAATTTCATCACGGACGGCCTTCTCTTCACCACGAACACGCGTTTCGTCCCTAAATGTTCACAATACAGCTACGTTGTGCAGACAACAGGTTAAGAGTTACCTTTGAGCAGCTTCAAGTCGATCATTGTCTGCTTCACGAGCGTCAAGGACATCTTTCAGAGCTTTATCTACTCCGCTTTTCTTCTCGAAAGCAGCATCTCGCAGCGGCTGAACTGCCTCGACTTCTTCCAGAATTTTGAAACTAAAAAAGGACAGATGATTACTGGAAAAGGGTAAAAGTTTAAATTTATACCGTATTTCTGAAACCTACAGCTTGATATGGAAAAGCTGGTTTCTCAGAAGTACAGCGTGGTTTTCGGCCTTCAGGTACGAGATCATTTCACGGACTGGTCCTTCAAGAGCTACTTTTTCCCTATCAGCTGCTCGAACCCTGAAAATCTCCATTCAGAAACTAATTTCAAATGCAAGAGAACAGTATTTTGATAATTTTGAGCCCTCAGGCATACGAAAGCACTGGACCAAACGCATTTTAGAGCAATTATCATTATTCTACGGTTTGGAAATCCTTTTTCAGCATTCACTGACAATTATAGGTGAAAGTTCGAAAAAGAACAAAATAAGTTGCGTGTTCTGGAAAATCAAGCCAAAAAAGGTTTAGACTGTGCATTTCATAAGAGATCAATATGAGGCAGTCTGTGCAAAAACAGCTGCTATCTATGGAAGGAATAGCTCCAGAATGGTTTATCTATAAAATTGAATGCTGCACGGGAGAACATATCCTAATGAGATGTGTACAGTACTAAAATGGAGGATCCTGCTTTTTTAGTGAAGTTATTATCTATTGGCAGAGTACATCCTACAAGGAGCCAAGTCTTATATTTACTTGCGTCAGATTGAGACCTCTCTAAAGATGAGCTTTTTGTGATTTTTTTATTTAAACTTTTAGATTTTCGAGGTTTTCATCTGAAATAGGCAATATACAGCGCATCACAATGATTTCGCATTCTGAGAACGATAGGATATCTTTCCAAAAATACTGATATTGACCACAACTTAAAAGAATGATGAGAAACATACCGTTGTAAAGCTTGGGATTTTTGCTCCTTCAGAGTTTCCACCTTTGCGGATAGTTTTTCAATAGGTACCTGAACGTCGCACGTAAAATTCTGTATCAAAGAGCACATAACCGTATCTCATCTCACCCTAAAACGACTAGAACCAATGATATCTTCCAGATATTCCAACATGCCTTCTTCATGTGCGGATTCACCTTTGGGCTTCATCATGGCTATCTGCTCTACTTCACCCTTGAAAGAACAAAATGTTAGCGTGATACATGAAATACCTTAAGTATTAAAATAAAACCTGCAGAATAAGGAAACGATTGTGAACCAGGTCGATTCCGAGATCTCTCAGACGAACAGCTATTTCTTTTATAGACATTGTCTAAAGCAGAAGATAACATGTTACTTTCCACATTGGAATTTGCCAAAAGGCATGAACTTTACCTTGCCGTTCCAAGCATACACACTGTTGTTATTTTTGTAAGCAGTTCTCGAAACGCTGAACTCGCTGCCTTCAACAACTTCAAAATGCCCGTCCTGAAAAAGGTGACTACTTAGATTCCTGGCACATGTAGTGAGAGTAAGAGACCGCCACAATAAGAAAGCGTGGTGCTGAACACATCAATACAGGCTAGAAAGGATAGGAAGGTGGTTGTCAAGATCAAGAAAAAGAACGGTGAGACTGCTGGACAGTAAATAGCCAATTACCGAACCGAAAACGAACCTTGTCAACAATCTGCTCGAAAAACACTTCGACAGAACAGCTATTGATATCATCGTGACCTCTAGACGAATGTATAAGCACAGATAATTTCTTGGAGCGAATCTTCGAGGCCTAAACAAAATTGATTCAAGGTGGAAGGCATGATGTAGCAAGGATACGAATATAAAAATTGAAAATATAATGACTGTAAAAGCACCTTGTAGCCGAAAACGAATAACAGCGAGTCAATAACATTACTCTTTCCTGAGCCATTAGGACCTATGATGGCAGTGAAATTCTGAAAAAAGAACTGAGCAAGAAATCGGAAACACTCCGGGCTTCAAGTTTGCTAGAGAAACGTGAAAAGAGCAGTAAAACCTAGTGGTACGATTTTTTCATCACAATATTATTCTCTGCCGAAACTGTGTTCCAGAACATATTTTCTCCAGGAAAAAGTATGTTCTCGAATTGTTTCTGGACAATCTGGGAAGGGGTGGGGGGTGGGGAAGAGACTGGCCACAGTCACAAAGAAGTGAGATTTTATCGTATTCGATGAAAAACCCGTCCTGACACAGTAGCATAGGTCCATAAACAACGAATTCAAATACACCTTCACTTTCATGAAATTTTTCAAAAAACGATGGTTCAGCAGATCTTTCTTTATAAAAAAATCAGAGCTCAATGCCTACTGCACAACACGCACATCAAAGCTTTTTAGGCTAGTCTCTGAGAACATTCTAAACATTTGCGGATTTTTCACGAACACATCCCACTTCACTGGAAGAAAGTAACCTGCGCTCTGCTCGTCCCCTCTCTCACCACCTCCCCTCTCTCCTCTCCACCACTCTCCCTATTTACCATTGGAAAAGCTTCCTTTTTTCGGAACCCACATGTTAGAACTTTTAAGAGTCCTGTTCTCTTACAATATAAGAAGCAATGGTTGCAGCGAGATTCTACATTACACAAAAAAGCATGGAATCTACTAGAGAAGAAGAAAGTAAAACTCATGGTAATGTAGGAATCATCTCACCTTATGAAATGGGCCAATCCTCTGTCTTCCGTAATAAGACTTGAAATTGGTGGCAACGATTTCTCTAATGACGAGTCTAGCTCCGCTACCATCTGGTTTCATGCACGGTTGTGGCCTTGGAGGTATCACCTAATCAGAAATCAGTCATTCTACCACGACCAATTGACGTAGAAATTGCCAACCATTCTCAGAAGATCTTCGCTCTCAAATTCTTCGACGAATTCGTTTTCCTCTCCAGACGAACTAGCATCTTGTCTCTAAACAGAATTTTTGATCAAGACAACTCCCAGCTGAATAAACCATAACTTACCTGTTCTGCTTTCTTCTTGTTATCCTTCGAGACAGCTTTAGTGGACTTGGCCGGTGTGTTGGTTTTGGCCTGCTTTCTCTTGAGACCTGGTGGAGACTTCGCTGGTGAAGATTGTCGCTTCTTAGCTGCTTTCTTCTTTGGTTTCTCATCACCTAAACAACTATTCAATGATATTGCCATGAAACACTCGAGGGAATTGAAGAATGTAAAAACTAAGGTGTCACCTGAGCTGAAGTCGCTATCGTCGTCAGACTCTATTCGTTTCTTCCGTGCCATGGTTAACCAAGTATACTAAAATCTGGAAATATGGAATGTTGTCTTGCGATTGTACCCCACTTATCAAAGAACTAAAACCACACGAGCAACAAAAGACGGTAGATCACAAAAAACATGTGAAAATTGCATATGTGTTGCTCGAATTGACGTGAAACCTTGTAAAAGGTTAGAAATTGAAGTTTTCTGAAGAATCGAACATTGCTGAACTGAGCGGTAAAAGGTTGTGCTGAACGCGGCAGAACGCACTACACAGAAGGCAGAACGCAAGTAACAATTAATTGAGAACAGATGTACTGAGACTCGTCAGAGGTTATAATGTACACTTGAAATCAAGCATAGTAATAGTCCTTTTTATTCGACAGTGTCTTTTGTTTTATTTTTTTTTTTTTTTTTTCTATTTTTTTTTTTTTTTTTTTCTTTTACATCTGCTGACTGAAGTCGAGCCTTTCTGCAGTCTACGTATCTGCGTAAAAGCATGCACCTGCGCTAGTGCTATGGTACAAGGATAAAAAAGAAACAACTATAAATCGTTTAAAACTAACTTATGTTATAGAATGCAAGAAAATCACATCTTCACCTAGCAATCCGAATACACAATAATATCAAACCAAATTTTTTGGTGAAGGAGACACAATATCTCCGCTGTCGATAATGAAGAATCAAATTACAGATGAGATTAGATCTGGACTGTTTTCGCTTTTTATTCTGTACGGCAGTTCAAAGACAACGCTTTTGAGAAAAAAAACACCACTAAGAAACATAAACAGAACTGCGCTGGAACGTCTGAACGTAGAAATAAACAAGCAACCACGCGAAAGAAAAATTCAAAAAAAAGCGGCACAACCATTGCACTATATAATTTAGCTTCGGTATTCGCGTCTAAATGGAAACGCCTACTGCACTACTATGACGTTTTAACGCTGCTGATGCTGATTCACAAAACAGTTGAAAACGCAAGCTCCAAAACACCGTGGTGGACGAAATATGGAACAACTAACGCACCTAAGCACGGCTTGAATTTTCCCGCAAATTTGCTTCAAAATTTTGTGGACAACTCGTCCGCGAAGGTCGAGCCTGCGCACGGTCCCATTTGGCGACTGTGGCGCACAGTACAGGACGCGTTGGAAAAGGATGCGCGGCAATTAGTAACGAGCCGTTCATTCATATATATACTCGAAATCCCTGAGATCGGGTAGGCGGAGCATTCGAACACTGTAAAGAACTGGTTACTAGTGGAATATTATAGTCTGGGACAACTGTCATCTTGTTCTGTGTGGACAGAGACACGACAACGGGTTGTAGAGTCGAGGTGAAAAATATGCGCATTAAAGAAAAGAGGAGAAGCGTAAAACGCCTATAAGGATAGAGTTGAAAGCATGCGCACCCTACCCGATCTGCAGGGATCTCGAGTGTAACATATATTGACAGTGTCGGTGCCCATTACCGTGTCGCAGAAGCTTGGAGCATTTCGTTCAAGATGTGCAACGAGACGAACTGCGGGAGGGCGATATACAGAGGGGAGGACACTTTCCTTCCTCGACTTTCAAGGCGATGTAAGTTAGACTTTATTAAGTCTTGATCGGACTCCACCACCATATTCAACAGCACATTGTATACAATCACGGTATTTCGCCACAGCCTTCTGGACGAGCGCCATCGAGAGATTCTGCCACGCGGAAGTGATTCGGTGCCTGAGTTCAGCGAGGTCGTTGACTTCTCCGCCACTGTAGACCACCCTGTTGAGCACAAGGAAGCTGAATTCAGTAGTACCGCCACGGTACCGTAACTCAAAAGCGGACAACCGGTTCATTGTAACTCTGCAGTGGACGTATGTATAACACCGAACTTTACGCCGGTACCACTACGGGAATTGTGCAGGAATGCTTGCATATACTGGCGTTCGGATGGACGGGATTTCGTGGCCACAATTTCACTTATGAATTCTTTCGTCTCGACGTAGCGGTTCTGAATGTTTTGGATGTGCGCAGCGTAAGAGATTCATAACTCACAACGCTGCTTTCTAGCTATTCGCAGTTGGAGAATAATTACATGAATACAACGAGCTGAATTACTTTAACTTACTCCAGACCAGAAAAATTTCCTTTTTACAGTGCTTTGCGCCGCCAACTTATTCCATGGGATTCCACCGCACGCGTAGTAATTGCAAAAGCAAAAAGCCACTATCACAACTAGACGTAAAAATTAGTTATCCGATCACTGACTTGTCATTTTTAGTGACGGTACCATTTGGCGCCAGTTTGGTGCAACTATTAGTCCGGACTCAGTTCTGGTGCAACTACCGTTCGGACTCAGTTCGCTACAGACTGGTTGTTAGATTGGAGAGGTAATCTTGGGTCTTGAGTATAGACAAAACGACTTGGTTCATAAGTGTCGACAAGGATACTACAAGGGTCAGGATCGTGAGCTTGGCTACCAAATATACTCTTTTAAACAACGTTTTTGGCAAGTTTTCTAAAATAATTTACGCGTCATATCTTGCGTGTTGGCAGGGGAACTGTGCCGCAGTCAGTGCCCCGTCTCAACTTTGTGCTCTCCATAGTTTTCAGCAGTACACTGTTGTGTTCTACTTCTAGAGGATGATTTCACATTTTGTCACTAGGTTTTGGGAGAAAAAAAATTATTCCTAGGTCGAGAAGTCGTAGTTGTGAACGCGACCAACTGCATGCAAGTCCCACCTATTCCACCTGTCGGGGCGATGAGGCTAATAAGTCGACCGGCAGTACCGACCTCAATTCACACAGGCGAAATTTGAAAGGCCGTCTCTATCCACAATTGGTTAGGGCCGTCTAATGCGTGCAGGCAGCCTCAAGTCTTGAAGCACGGGTGATAGAAAGATAGATCAGGCCTATCCTCACATCTAAGTCCTCACAACGACATCCGAAACAAATATCCGCTTTCTTTCACCCAGAAAAAAAGGAATCGTCGGTGTAGTTTCAGCGTCCGTGCTGATGTTTTTAACGCGCCTACGACAGACTTACAATTTAAAGGGCGTCGCTTTGGGTTACGGTACCGTGGCGGTAATACTGAAGTTAGCTTCTTGTCTGTTGACCCGGTAATCGAGGGGGTTTAGGCTAAGTGACACACTTAGAAATTCCGCCTTCTTCAGGTCTCAACGCCCTTCGATTCCAAGAAGGCGAGAGTTTTCCAACGCCCTTCGATTTCATGTGCTGGCACCCAATCCTGTAGAAGTTTGCAAGATGGTACAGGCGACGACATGAAGGCCGGATATTCTCCTCGATGTAACGTCAGCGTTCACTTTCAGTCCGGGGTCCACGAAGAAAATATCGGTCTTCCCATTCCAGGAACTTCCGGTCCATACCATCAACCCGCGCCTTGGCGACTGCGGTGAAGATGATATCCTGGACCGTAGCGACGTTGTCGGAGCTGCTCGATGTTGGAGGTCTTCCAGATTGAGAGTGCCGGTCTCCAGGTAGCTGTCCATGGGTGACTCCATACAAGAAGTTTCGCAGCTGTTTGGAGGTGACGTGAATTCCATAGGCCTTCTCCAGTCAGGTTGCGATTGGAGATGGCTTCATATTTTGGTGTACATGATGGGCAAGAGCCAGCTCCTGCTTATCGAGGAACATCTTGGGTATCTTCCGCCCTGGTACTCGTATCCACGTCTCTGTCTGGGCTGGGCTTTACTGATATGTGACTTGGCCGAAGTGTCTTCTTTCCCCCTCCCTCTGTATATCTGATACTTTTTGTCAATTCTGCATTTCCTAGATTCGGCAATGCTGCGTTTTGCCACTATCTATGAGCGCGGCCCTTCTGTGATCTTCGGCAAAAGGGACAAATGTAAGTGCATTCATGTCCGGCTGGTTTGAAAAAATTCAAGGATCCGGCACAAGGATTGAAAATGACTCACTTATATTGGAATACGCCAAGCAACTGCATCTGATCATGATCAACTCCTTCTTCTAGAAGAGATAGTCCCACCTAGTCACTTACTACGAAGGTGGACCTAAAGCTACTGGCGCGAAGGAGCCAAGGATGCGACATGCTGGGCTACAAGGTGATCCCATCGGCAGCGCAGTCAACTCCGTCCAGTGGATGCAACCATCTAGATGCCGGCCTACCCGTCCGCCTCCAACCAGACGGGAATCAACAGAAAGTTTCAGAGATGGAACAAGCTTGCCAAGCGGGAGCAGATATCACGGACCACTTATCGGTAAAGATCCACCAGAGCACGTCCGAGGAGATTGAGGAGAACTGGAAGAGACGCCTGGTAAATACAAAACACCGCGCGGACCACTAACTAGACGGAGATCGAGCGCGCACCGGATCGACCTACTTGGCTCCGGAA